TTGCCGATCAACCGTTTCGCCAGCAGAAGTGATAGGGTCCAAGACCTCACAGGTGGCAGTCAGAGAAGGTGCGTTGTCGTTCCAAATAGAGAGTGGCAATGGTGTTAGTCTTTTGATACACCGTTTGATGACATTTGTTGCAGTTTTTATATCAGCGACTCGGGTGATTCCATCCTTGCCGGGACATAGCTTGGCAATACGACCAAGTTTCCATTGCATTGATGGTTGATTGTCTTTCCTGATTATCACAAGTGTGCCGATTTTGATTTCGTGGTTTCCAGTAGTCCATTTTCTTCTGATGTTTAATTCATTTAGGCATTCTTTATGCCATCTGCTCCAAAAATCGTGACGCATCTTTTGAATGTGTTGCCAGAGGGATAGCCTGTTGTCCTTGATGTGTTGTAAATTCAATTCTGGTAAGCTGGTGAGGGCATCTCCACTCAGAAAATGTCCAGGAGTTAATGCTGACACATCATTAGGATCAGATGATAATGGTGTCAGAGGTCGTGAGTTCGAAATTCCCTCAATTTCGATGGTCAAGGTGGAAAATTGTTCCAGAATGTATAATTGAGTTCCCATCACGCGACGTAGATGGTGTTTGAAAGATTTAACAGCGGCTTCCCAGATTCCGCCGAAGTGTGGAGCTTGAGGTGGAGAGAATCTCCAAGAAATGCTGGTTTTTGCAAGTTCAGAAATTCTTTTTTCTTGAGCCTTCGGTGTTTGAAGATTTGCGATGATACCCTTCAATTCGTTGTTGACCCCAACAAAGTTGGTTCCATCATCAGATTGAATGATAGAGGGACATCCTCGTCTGCTGGTGAATCTTCGGAGTGCTCCTAGAAATCAGTTAGTTAATAAATCTGTCGCGACCTCCAAATGCACTGCCTTGATGACTAAACAGATAAAAACTGCAACATAAATTTTAATACTCTTGCGATTGCGAAGCTTTGTTTCCTTGATGTGGAAAGGACCACAAAAATCGACTCCAACATGCCTAAATATAATTTAGAAGAAGTGAAAGAATTTTGTGAAGAATAATAAAGATGACAGACATAAAATAAATGTAAAACTTCATTTTATTAATTAAAAAGCATTGAGTTATTATTTTAATAATAGTGAAATGAAACTTAATTAGTTAGGACTTGCATGGATTATTCTTGGAACGTTATCTGTGATTTGAATTTTGGTACAGTAAATTTCGAATATTTTTCACCAACAACATGAAAAAATATTTCTATGTTAAATATAATATTTACGATTCTCCGTTGATGAAATTTCCATATGTTAAGGATTTTGGGATTCAAAAAAGATGAGTCATTTTTTAATTTCGAAAAAAAATCAATCATTTAAGGCGTTTATCCACACGACATCCTGGGAACCAAGGCAATTAACAATCATGTTGGACTGAGCCTGTAGCTCAAAGACAACGCGTCCTCTTCCCCCTCTAAATCATTTCTAAGTTTGGCAACAGCACCATCAATATACATGACTTATAAACATAAAAAATCATTAAATAAAAACATGTGAAAGATTTTGATTATAACATTATTGACTTATTTCGACTTATTTAACTATAGACGGTCCTCGAGAGGAGGAGTGCACAAGTAGCCTTGCGGCCATTTTGCACTCTGCCTGGGGCGGCCGTCTAGTCGAGAGGTGTCAGCATCTGTGTCCCACATGCGAATTCGTAGAGTCCCTTGAAGCCGTCCCTGTCGACGTAAAGATCTTTAAGGCAGGTGGTCTCAAAGATATCCAAACGGAGTTCATCAAGACCATTTTGTACTGAGATGGTGGGGGTCCTCCTCCATCAAACCGCATCTTGGGCAAAGAGGGTCATCTCCCTTGCCGATTCTCGCCAGGTAGGCAGCTAACGGCCAGTGTCCCGTGATGAGCCCTAAAAGCGCTCGCAGCTTTACCCTGCTCAGGGACACGAGTTCGTCAGCCAGTTTCCTGGAGGGTTCCCGGAGAAGGGATCTGGTGTGTCTGGTGCCCATCCCTGAGCTCCAACTCTCCACCACTCCCCTGTCCGCGCGCTTTTGGATTAGTTCCTTTATGTAATCTGAATGAACGCCAACGTGGTCTTCCTCCACCGGCGCCATTGTCTGACATCCCTGTTTGGCCAGCATATCGGCTTTTTCATTGCCAAGTATGCCGGCGTGGCCTGGTATCCAGAACACCTTTAATTTGTTGCAGGTTGCAACCTTATCCATCAACTCTATGCAGTCGTTTACCAACCTGGAGCCACTCTCGTGTTTAAGTAGGGCCCGTAGTGCCCGCCTGCTATCCGAGTAGATGTGTATTACCTTGCCCTTGTCCTGCCTGGCCAGTATGATTCTGGCGCAGGCTCTCAAGGCAGCTAATTCTGTTTGAAGCGGGGTGACGTGTGGGCCCAGTCCAAGGGCCTTCTCAACGGAGGGCCGATTGGACCACACTCCTGCTCCCGCTGGGCTGCACCTCTTGGAGCCGTCCGTGTACCAGACCAGCCCGTGAGGTGGCGACCATTTTGAGTCCACCCAGGCCTGTGTGTCCGCAGTGCCTAGGTTAACCTTGAACCTCTTGTGAGGGTGCCATTCAGCTCTACATGCGTCTCCCCCTTTGGACAGCGAGCCAAGGAGCACCCTGTCCTCCGTAAGGAGCATAGCATATCCCTTCTTGGCTTCCCTCCAGGAGCCACCCCTCTATGGTTGCTCCAGAACCGTTCCCGTGCGCGAGTCCCCCCTCTGTAAGTTAGAATCCGGGAAATGCACTTGGATCAAATGTTCCAGGATGTCGCTGGGCTGTGAGATGATCTCCCCGTTAGGGAGTATGATCTCCCCCAGCCCTTGCGTTGGTCCCCCTGAAAAGACCCTGCGAAGCCTGGCTACCTGTGGTAGGGCCTCCAGGTCATCACAGAATTCCTTCCAGGCGGTTTCCTTTGATTTTTTGATGAGTCTTTTGTACTCCCTCTGCGCATTTCTGTACTG